CTCCACAAATTTGTCTGAACCTCTTTTAAACTCATCCCAGTTGGTGGCTGTTACTGCCTCTTGTGGCAGCGAGTTCCACCGCTTAACTCTGTGTCGCAGGAACGGCGGTAGCCCTCTCCTCCATGAATTTGTCCCATCGCCTTTTAAAACTGTCAGATGCTGGTAGTGGTTGCTCGTGAGTAACCAGGCAGGACTCCGACCTGTCTTTTAGAGGTTTTATTAATGCAAACTATATCCTGAGAAATCTCTTATGTGGGACAAGAAGCTACAGTTAGAACTGGATATGGAACAACTGATTGGTTCAAAATTGGGAAAGGCATACGACAAGGCTGTATATTGTCTCCCTGCTTATTTAACTTACATGCAGAATTCATCATGCAAAAGGCTGGGCTGGATGAATCCCAAGCCAGAATTAAGATTGCCAGAAGAAATATCAACAACCTCAGATATGCAGAGGGCACAACATTGATGGCAGAAAGTGAAGGAGGAATTAAAGAGCCTTTTAATGAGGGTGAAAGAGGAGAGCGCAAAATATGGTCTGAAGCTCAGCATCAAAAAAACGAAGATCATGGCCACTGGTCCCATCACGTCCTGGCAAATAGAAGGGGAAGAAATGGAGGCAGTGAGAGATTTTACTTTCTTGGGCTCCATGATCACTGCAGATGGTGACAGCAGCCACGAAATTAAAAGACGCCTGCTCCTTGGGAGAAAAGCAATGACACACCTTGCCAACAAAGGTCCGTATAGTTAAAGCTATGGTTTTCCCAGCAGTGATGTATGGAAGTGAGAGCTGGACCATCAAGAAGGCTGATCGCAAAAGAATGGATGCTTTTGAATTATGGTGCTGGAGGAGACTCTTGAGAGTCCCATGGACTGCAAGAAGATCAAACCTCTCCATTCTGAAAGAAATCAGCCCTGAGTACTCACTGGAAGGACAGATCCTGAAGCTGAGGCTCCAAGACTTTGGCCACCTCAGGAGAAGAGAAGACTCCCTGGAAAAGACCCTGATGTTAGGAAAGTTGGAGGGCACAGGGAGAAGGGGACGACAGAGAATGAGATGGTGGGACAGTGTTCTCAAAGCTACCAGCATGAGTCTGTCCAAACTGCGGGAGGCAGTGGAAGATAGGAGGGCCTGGCGTGCTCTGGTCCAGGGGGTCACGAAGAGGCGGACACGACTAAACAACTAAATGACTAAACACTAACAACAACAAGCACGGGAGCCAACTCCTAGGGGCTGAGGACCTCAGCCCCCCCATAAAATGTTTGAGGGGGCCGCTGCCCCCGCAAAAAGTTGATGGGCATTGCTATTCAAATGGTGCATGTGCCGGGTCTTGTGACTGACAATGGAGGGTGGTGCTTACCTGTGTCCCCCCCCCCACAATATTTTATTCAAGTTATTCAGATATTTATTCAATATCTTATTCAAGGTGATCCAGCACAATCTTATGTTCTTATGGTGGGGACTGGACCTGGGACATTCTGCATGCCAAACAGGTGTCCTGGCAACCAGCTGCCATTGCTCTCCCAATCAGATTACACCAACTCCCATTTAACTTACGGAGAACTGTGTCAGAGTGCGACACAACCAAGCAGCCAAAATGCACCTCGGACAGAGGTCACCATTTTCCAGATGCCTCCTGTCTTCCTAGCCCCCTCCAGACACTTGTTCTCAAAAGATGCTGGAGCTACTTTGCGTAGGGGCAGCGACCATCGTAGTGCCGTGCCGTTAATCATGCGCCGGGGGCGGGAGAGTGTTAGATTAAAATCCTGCCAATTAAATTAATTGCCCTGAGAGCGCCTCACCTGATTAGCGCCATGCATCTTTAATTGCAAGGCAACCGCCAGGAGTTCTGCTGCTGTTCTGAAGACCCTTCTGTGAGCTGGTGCTGAGTGTCTTCAGATGGAGCTCGCCTGTCTCCCGTCCCCCTTGGGAAGAGCTGCAGGTGAACCCTACCCTAATGGGAACCAGCAGGATTCGCACTCACAGCATCGTATCCTCGCTCTCCACACCCAACCCTCACCACCCTCCGTCTCAAGCTCAAAAGCCACAGTGTGGGGAGTGCCAGGTCAAATCGGTAAGGATACACTGGGCAAAGGATTTGGGACACAAGATTCAGATGGCAGATTGGGAGAGGTTATGGGAAACAGACCTGAAACTCACGGCATGTTGTACACGGAAAGAAAATTATATGAAAATCGATGTGCCGGTGGTATTTGACTCCTAGCAAGTTAGGAAAAATGTATAGAACACGGGAACCAGGTAGAGGGCCTTTTCGGTGGTGGTGCCCGCCCTGTGGAACGCCCTCCCACCAAATGTCAAAGACTAGCATTTAGAGGACATCTGAAGGCAGCCCTGTTCAGGGAAGTTTTTAATGTGTGACATTTTAATGTATTTTTAATCTTGTTGGAAGCCGCCCAGAGTGGCTGGGGAAACCCAGCCAGATGAGCGGGGTGCAAATAACAAATTATTATTACAGAACAAGTACAAATGTTAAGAAAAAGAAGGTACCTTTGATCATATGTGGTGGACATGTAAGGTAATAAAAGCTTTCTGGGAGATGATATATAATGAAATGAAAAAAAAAAGTTTAAAATAACCTTTGTTCAAAAACCAGAATTTTTATTAGGAATTATAGGTACCGACATCCCAAAAGATCAGAAAAGACTTATGTACGGGACAAGAGCTGCTTGGATTGTATTAGCCCAAAGAAGACAAACCCAGCTGATGGACTATGCTGAGATGACAAAGCTGACCGGAAAACTCAGCAATCAAGAGTATAAAAACTTTTTTAAAAATGGGAAAAAATATAATTTATTTAGGAGACCACTGAAAGCAGATGGAAACATTAGCAGGACTTCAATTCCACTTGTAATGTAACAAATACCATGGATAATATGGATTGATATAAAATGTTGATCATGGAATAATATGCAGTTTTTAATGATGATAATAAGACCCCGGAGGGGTGGGGGGGAGTCAAGAGTAATCGCTATATATGGATATGTATTTGGATTGTTATAATTTTACATTTTTAAAACCAATAAAAATAATTCCCCCCCCCAAAAAAAAAGGGAAAGAGGAGACTGAGCGGAGATATGAGAGCCACCTTTAAATATCTCAAGGGTTGTCACACGGAGGAGGGAGCAAGCTTGTTTCCTCCTGCTCCGGAGGGCAGGACTCGAACCCATGGCTTCAAGTTACAAGAAAAGAGATTCTGACTTAACATCAGAAACAATGTTCTGACGGCTGTTTGACAGCGAAACAGACTTCCTATGGAAGGTTGTGGTCTCTCCTTCCTCGGAGGTTTCTAAGCAGAGGTTGGATGGCTGTCTGTCTTGGATGCTTTAGCTGAGATTCCTGCATTGCAGGGGGTTGGACTAGAGCACCTCTGGGGGTCCCTTCCAACTCTACAATTCTATGATTCTTTGCACCGGTAGGATAGGGGCAGCAGAAGGAGACCCTTGATCTATGCACTTGCTGCCTAGAAACTGTCCAGGATGCAGATCAGATACTGAAATAGATAAATATTATCTGAGAAAGCTTGATCACTCCTCCTGGCACCAATTCCAGAGCGGATAAGTTGCTGCGTTGCGCCTCCACCCCCCTTCCCTATTTCCATATCTTCCCCACTGTCACTGCAGAACAGAATCTTTGCTCTCTCCTTTCATGCACTCCAATTCTTATCCACACAGGTTTGCAACGCAGATCTGATCAGAGTCAGGTAGTTCCATGCTAACTTCTACTGTTAATATGTATCTGTGCTTGTCCTTGGGAACCTAGCCAGCCATCTCCCCCTAGCACTGGTTAGTCTGCCCAGCAAAGGTAAGAAAATAAAAGCCAAACTAAAGGATCACAACTAACACAAAAGTATTGTTATGCAGATTCTGCAGCTGGCGAAGTACACAATGGTGCAAGAGCTCATCTGTGGGCATAGTAGAAAAGGAGGCTGGGAGATTTCATTTCCTCCAGGATTTGCACCCCTAAGCAAACACTCCATTGCCCATCCCTTGCTGCAAAAAACCCCAGTACAGTGGATGCTCGGGTTGCGAACGTGATCTGTACGGGAGGCACGTTCGCAACCTGCAGTGTTCACAATCCACAGTGCCTGCGCATGTGTGGGTCACGATTTGGTGTTTCTGCGCATGTGCAAAGCGTGATTTAGTATTTTTGCACATGCGCAAGCGCTGAAACCTGGAAGTTACCTGTTCCGGTACTTCCGGGTTAGGCGCGGTGCACATCCCGAAAACACGCAACCGGAAGCGTCTGTAACCCAACGTATGACTATAATAATTGTCTAGGAAACAAGAGAGACTTCTCGCTCTTTCTTTCCCCTCATTGCCTCCACCCCAACTAGAATCTGGATTGCATGGCACAGACCTGGTTTTGTTTGTACATGTTACTCAGTATATGCTAGAGAAACAACAACAACAACAGATTTGCAATTCCCTCTTCCAGTGAACTTTCAAATAGTAGCTTCTGCCATGCTGACTGCCGCTGCATTTATGTGAACACTTGCCATGATTGTTGATTTAATAATAATACAGTAGTACTTCCGGTTGCGGATGGGATCCATTCTGGAGCTCCGGCTGGATCCTGAGATTTCCGCAACCGGAGGCACCACTTCTGCGCACCTGCACAGTGTGCTTCTGTGCATGCACAGGCAGCAATACTTCCGGGTTTGCCGCTTTCGCAACCTGAAGTTTACGTTACCCAAGTAAGCCGAGGTTCCAGTGTAACAACAACAACAATACGAATACTAATACCTCACCCACCTGGCTGGGTTTCCCCAGTCCATTGTGCTATTGGTTTATTACTTGCTTTTTAAAAACACTGCTGTCATTTTATTTGCCACCCTGAGCATATTCTTTCAGAGAAAGGGAGGGTGGAAACACCAAAAAGGATGAAATAAGGATAAATAAAACCCAAGGGTGCATTTTCATAAGCACAAGACGCAAAGGGGAGGAGCAAGAGGACGAACTTCCCGGCGCCATGTACTCACTTCCTACTTTGAGGTTGACCCGGTACTTCAGATGCCATGAGGAGCCCTCGTAGCAGGAGTACTGTCCGCTGTGGGAGAGGTCCACGTTCCGGAGGACGAGACGGGAGCCGTTGAGATGGGATGCATCCAGGTCGGTGCTGTTGGCCGTCCAAGTGACTGCGGCATCCCTGTCCACAGACCCACACTGTAGCGTCACGTCGGTCCCCAACTGCGCGTAGTGAATATGGGATTCTGGGATTCAAAGGAGAGGAGACGTTCATTCATACCTGCCCCTTTGCCTTTCCCACTCAGTCACTTCCATCGGCAGAACTGGCACTAGTACAGGTGCCACCTAATACCTGCTCCACATCTGTAAGAAATCAGAGTGTTTGAGGACTGGGACATTCTCAGGAAAACCAAAATGCTTGTTTACAAAGCTATTGTACTACCAATCTTACTATATGCTTGTGAAACATGGACCACTTATAAACGCCATCTCCAACTCCTCAAAAGATTCCATCAATGGTGTCTCTGAAAATTTTTACACATCACTTGGGAAGACAGGCGAACTAATGCCAGTGTACTGGAAGAAGCAAATATCATCAGTGTTGAAGCAATGATTCTTCAGCATCAACTTTGTTAGACTGGTCATGTTGTGCAGATGCCTGATTATCATCTTCCAAAGCAACTACTCTACTCCGAACTTAAAAATGGAAAGCATAATGCTGGTGGTCAACAAAGGAGGTTTAAAGATTCTCTCAAGGATTTTTTTTTTTAAAATGCAGTATAAATGCAGTGCTCTAATTGGAGAACCAAAGGTGTCATGGGCTTTGAAGACACTTGAACTCAGGATGAAAGGGAGAAACGTGCTAAGAGGAAGGCACACTTGGCAAATCCACACCATGATCAACTCCCACCCAGAAACCAATGTCCCCACTGTGGAAGGACGTGTGGATCCAAAATTGGCCTCCACAGTCACTTATGGGCTCATTGTTAAGACCGTGTTTATGGAAGACAGTCTGACTCAGCTATGAGGGATCGCCAAAGAAGAAGGTGTCCTATTCAACAACAACAATTTTATTATTTATACCTTGCCCATCTAACTGTGCTTGCCCCAGTCACTCCGGACAGCTACCAACATATATAAAATCATAATAAAACATTAAACATTAAGAAACTTCCCTATAAAGGTCTGCTTTCAGATGTCTTCTAAAGGTTGTATAGTTACTAAACTACTTGGTTTGGGGGTTACATCACGTCATACCCTCCAACATTTCTCCGATGAAAATAGGGACATCCTAAGGAAAAGTGGGATATACTGGGATCAAATCAGAAACTGGGACGGCTTCTGAAAATCTGGGTCTGTCCCTGGAAAATATGGACACTTAGAGGGTCTTTTGTTGGGACTGCAGAATAGTTTACACATCTCGCCACGGATAATTATCCCGGAACGGTGGCTCAAATAGCAAGACACTTGGTCCAAAGGTGTGTTTTGTCACCAGCAGAACAACAGCGTCCACATCAGAAATCAGACCTGCCAGATTGACTGCGTGAGCATCTCTAAGAGAAACCTTTTCTGACAGCCCCGGCTCTTGCTAAATTGCTCGTGACCGATGCTGACCCCCTCCTGCAGAGGAGCACATGACAGCTTTCGCTCCTGGGTACAGAAGGCCACACACTGCAGCACAGGTCAACAACAAGCATGCGAGTCTTGAAGGTGCCACAAGACCTGTTGTGTCTGCAGTGAAAGAGAGGAAAAGCGTTCCTTTGGAGGGATCATCAGTCGAGTTGAAAAAACAGTGGGGGAAATATTTACCAGCTAGGAAACACAACACCAGAGCCTCCCTGAAAGCCAGGGTGCCCCAGCAGAGACTCTGCTGACCCCATCGCCTCACTCTGCGCATACTAGTTCTGCTGTCATGAGTTCTTTCGTACGAGATGATGGAACGTCCTCTGTGGTGCTGCAGGAACGGCGGGGCGAATAGATGCACAAACTACCATGCACTCCGAAGTACAATAAATCCCCATTAAACCTCCATCGGTGCTGATGGAGAACATTAGCTAAATGAGCACCCTGGGCAGCTGAGCAGCTTCCTTTGCTCGAGCTGCCGGCCAGCCAGGAAAGATCAGCTTTCCCCCTCTGACAAGAGGGGCAGGAGAAGTTCAAAGATGCAATGGATCATTTTTGTGTGTCTTAAGAACATAAGCAGAGCCCACTGGATCAGGCCGATGGCCCATCTAGTCCGACATCCTGTCTTCACAGTGGCCAACCAGGTGCCCCAAAAGGGAAACCTGCAAGAGGGATTTGAGCAGAAAAACTCTCTCCTCGCCGGCAGTTTCCTGCAAATGGGATTCAGAAGCATCACTGCCTCCAACTGTGGAGGCAGGAGCATAACTCTTCTTCATGTGCCTTCTCAAGAGGTCTGGAGGGCAGCAACACGAGAACGGTCCTTCTCTGTAGTGGCTCCCTGTTTCTGGAACGTTCTCCCCAAGGAGGCTCGCCTGGCGCCTTCATTATATATATTTTAGGTGCCAGGCAAAAACATTCCTCTTCAAGCAGGCCTTGGGCTGATTAATATTCTACAGCTTTTTAAATGTGTCTGTAGGAAGGGGGGGTTATTATTTTGCTGTTTTGTTTTACTTATTTACTTGTTTTTATCCTGTATTTTATTATGTGAACCGCCACAAGATCTTGTGATGAAGAGTGGAACAACAACAACAACAACAATGACATATCTGAACTGAGGTTTTCCTCCCAGAGGAAGGGGCAGCCAAACATTCCCATTCACTACCTGACTATAAACTACTACGTGACTATAAATGGGTGGCACTGTGGTCTAAACCACCGAGCCTCTTGGGCTTGCCAATTGGAAGGTCAGCAGTGCGAATCCGCACACCGGGGTGAGCTCCCGTTGCTCTGTCCCAGCTCCTGCCAACCTAGCAATTCGAATGCACGCCAGTGCAAGTAGATAAATAGGTACCACTGCAGCGGGAAAGTAAACTGTGTTTTTGTGTGCTTTGGTTTCTGTCACGGTGTCCCGTTGCACCAGAAGCGGTTTAGTCTTGTTGGCCACATGAGCTGGAAAGCTGTCTGTGGACAAACGCCGGCACCCTCAGCCTGAAAGTGAGATGAGCGCCACAACTCCATAGTCGCCTTTGACTGGACTTAACCGTCCAGGGGTCCTTTGCCTTTTTTTAAAAAAAATAAACCATTATTCCCAAGTAAGTCGCAGACACCACTGGAATGAGCTGCCTTATACCAAGTCAGACTACCGGTCAGTGTCACCTGTGCTGACTGGAAGTAGCCCTCCACCTTTCAGACAGGGGGTCTCATTCCCAGCGCTACTGGGAGAGCAACCTTTTGCATGCAAAGCAGATGTTCTAATACTGATCTACAGCTTTTCGTTTAAGCCACAGAAAAATGGGAAGGCGCCTCACACAGAGTCTGACCATTGGTCCAGTTAACTCAGTATGCTCTGCACCACCTGGCCGTGGGCCTCTAGGGCTCTCAGGTAAGGGGCATCCTCAGCCCTATTAACCTGGGACCTCCTGCATGCAAAGGAGATGCTCTGCCCACCTGTGTCTGGGAACTGTTGCACCGGTGCGCTGCACGGTGCGAATTCTTCCTCCCAGGACAGCTCTGCACATTCCTGATTTTGTGGCTGAAAGTGACACTCACGAAGCCAGGATTCCTGGGAGCACATACATTTAAGCACTTTTTTATAAAAAAAAGCTGCTTGGATAAGCAAGCAAAGCAATCGGTGGATTTAAAAAACCCACCTAAAGCCTGGTCATTTGGGTTCTGGATGGTTTGCTTTGGGATAGACCAGTTGAGCCATTCTCTCCTTTGCAACCCAACAACCGCCCGGTCCTATGAAACTGCACAGATGTCCGGGTATGTAGATTATCACCTCTGAATAACCCCTTCTCTGTGTGCTTTTGGGGACTCGCAACCAAATTCCTCCACACTGGCGAGGCGTGACCTCTCTCTCGACGAAAGCTGTGTTGACTCTGCCCTGATTTCTGCGTGTTTATCTGCACAACTAATAAATCTGTATCCTTTGCTGGAGCTGCTGCCAATTTGTGGTTCTTTGCTCCAGCTGGGGAACCTCAATGCCTTTCCACTCCAGAGGAGCTCTGAAGAGACAGGAGATGGGAGGAAAGGGCCCGGCTGCAACCGAAGGGGAGATCCGGCGCAAACAGGCACAGGATTTTGACTTGACATGCAGCTCAACCTGAACTCAGCCCTCCCGGCTAGAGGACCTTGGCAACTGCAGGGCCTCAACCACACCTTCACAGAGAGAAATGCAGGAAAGGGGGGCTGGATCCGCACCTGTCAATTATTGCAATGTGCTCCATAGAATTGGGAGGGAACCTAAGGGTCATCCAGTCCAACCCCCTGCAATGTAGGAATCTCAACTAAAGCATCCACCTATTTAACCAGCATCAACCTCAAATTTAGTACGCATTTTGAAAGTTCGCCAGATCACCAGACTGCAGAAGGGAGAAACGATGGTTTGCACCCATTTTTTAGAATTTAGGCAACTAACAGGGGAGGGACCACATCTCTGCGGATCAAGGACCTTATTTTGATGCAGAAGGTTCTGAGTTCAAATCCCTTGCATTTCCAGTTAAATATGGAATAAAGGTAAAGGGACCCCTGACTGTTAGGTCCAGTCGTGGCCGACTCTGGGGTTGCGGCGCTCATCTCGCTTTACTGGCCGAGGGAGCCAGTGTACAGCTTCCAGGTCATGTGGCCAGCATGACTAAGCCACTTCTGGTGAACCAGAGCAGCGCACGGAAAAGCTGTTTACCTTCCCGCCAGAGTGGTACCTATTTATCTACTTGCACTTTGACATGCTTTCGAACTGCTAGGATGGCAGAAGCAGGGACCGAGAAACGGGAGCTCACCCCGTCGCAGGAATTCGAACTGCTGATCTTCTGATTGGCAAGCCCTAAGCTCTGTGGTTTAACCCACAGCGCCACCCGCGTCCCTTTAAATATGGAATAATCCTCTTTTAAAGCTGTCTAGGTTGGTGGCCATCCCCATGGCAGGGAGTTCCCTGGTTTAACTGTGCAATGCATTAAGAAGAGCCTTCTCTTATCCATCCCAAATCTCCCAACATTCAGCTTCACGGAATGCCTCTCCGTGTTAGGAGAGAGGCAGCAAAAAGTTTTCCCAGTCCACTTAATGCAGCTCATTACATTCTTGCCTTAATTTATGACCAAAAACTGCCGTTCCTAAGTGCCCACGTTGTGGAAGAGCAGGAGGGTGCTAAAGGTACGAGTGCGAAGACTCACCAGATAATCTGCACGCTGCCTAATTAGATCTCGCTGGCATGTTTCTGCTGCGGCTGCATGCATAATGGATGCTGTATTTACAGAGTCACAGGTGTGCAAAGAGATTGACAGGCAGATGAAAAGCGCAGGCTCCAGACCCTGCGGCTTACAAAACGAACAAGATGTGAGGATGCCAAGGGAAATAAGCCCCCTCCCCTCTGGGCCTGGGGTGGAAATCCCCCCTAGGGAGGCCAAGGAAAGTACAGGAACAGAGTGTTGCACGTCACCTTAATCTCCAAGTGGTGAGAGACCACAGGGACTTCTGGCGCTTGCATGGGTTCAATTTCCTTTGGAATGAAGACAGTCTTCAGGATATGTGGTTTTATTCAGCCTGAAGGGTCCCATCTCTTAGCTGAAGCTCTTGCAACCTGACTCATCTTTTTGGGGGCTGATGATGGGGGCATTTAAGTGGCCAGCTAAGGTCACAAAGAAACTTATCTGACTAGTTTGGCAATGGAATCCTCCGTTGCGTGTCAAGACCCCGCCACCACCCCCTCATAAGACACCAGGACACAGATATTAAGTTAATGTTATTGGGCAAATTTTGGCCACAACTTTATTGATTACAGACTGTGAGCAGTATTGGCTTAGGCAGTGAATGGACCCGACCTGACGGCTGCACAGCGAGTCTGGTAAGGGTAAACCATTAGAAGGGAAAGCCCCATTGACGCAGACCAACTCAAGCTCCCCCTGGTGTTCCTGTGGGGTCATGTCATGGCCCTAGCCCCACCCCAGGCTTCGGACAAGATCCACCCCCCCCGGATTCCTTTAACGGAAGACCCTTAAGCTTGGAGGGGCAGGTGATGGCCACACCTCCCCTCCCCCATCATAAGGTCAAACAATGCCTAACTGCAAAACCTTACAAAGTTGTGACATTTGCTACGAGGTAGGCGAAAACCAAATGGCCCCATGCCAATTTTGCCAGGTGGAAAAA